GAAGTTTTGCATTTTTCTTCTACTGCTGTGATTTATTTCTATGCAATAAACACGCACAGGGAGTAGTGGTGTGGGGAAGGGGGGCATCCGAGCTACTCTCCATCACGGACAATAAAGCCCGTCCTCTCAATCAGTGTTTCCCAATCCGGTCCCCAGGCGCCCCCAGTCAGTCCATGTTTTTGCTTCTTTCCAGCTCTCTGCCAGACAGACCACATTTATGCTCCCTAGGACCTGAGAGGGAGCAAAAATGTGGACTGTCCCGGGGTCCCTGAGCTCTAAAAGAAAGTGAAATCACGGTGATGAGCACGTTCTGGGAGATGTTTTTGCTGTCTTTTTTAATGTTGAAGACACCATGTTCATATTTACCCATAAATATTAAAATTTCTATATATATGCTACAGCTATTTATTGTCTATTGATTGTCACTGCCATACTGCATGCGCCAGTACTAAAGCATATTGCACATCTACATATTTGAGCCACCCAGTTATTCCACCCCGCCGCAGTGTCGCTTAATTATTGTTTACATGCACATTGCAGTATCGTATTACATTCCGAATAATATTTGCATGATTCTGATTACCACCTTGAATGTGCAAAAATTTTAATAGAATCCCTGAAAGATGCTACCTAGTGTAAGGCTTCCGTGCTCCGACATCATGACAGAGCGTGAAACTGGTTGTTCTCTATTGACTGGTCAGTGATCATCATCATCTTCTTCCAAAGCACAGGTTTCAAAGTGACCAATCAGCGAAGTGGAGAAATCAGCCGCTGTTCCCGCCTTGAAAGTCTCAAAACTCAACCTGTCGAGCGACCTGTAGTGTTGTGCAGATGTGTAGAGAGGGTCCAGCGAGCGTGTGGAGGATGGGTTTCCTGCTCATTAAGCATGTGCGTGGCTTTTATGTGCTTTGAGACTAAAGGCCAAAGGCCATACTCAGCCCTGTCACAGAACTCCTTAAGTATTTTGTTCAGCCTTGTAGCCTCTTTTCGTCCATTTGTCCCCCAGCTGGAAAGAGCAGAAGACCGGCAACAGAAGCCTGGTAGACCATGGGCAGCAGACTCTGCAAATACCAGAGGACTTGAATCCTCTCAGGAGGAACAGGCTGCTCTGCCCCGTCCTGTACTGTGCCCCCTCTGTGCTCGTTCAAAGCACCAAGGTGCTTGTAGCCCCCCCATCCTGTAGTGTCTTCCCTGGTAAGCAGAGTGAAAAGCACCAGTGTTGGTCCTGCAGCACCAGTTTAACCATATTCTGCAGTGTGTGTTTCTCTGCCGGGTCCTGTGGAACGACGTGGAACACTGTTTCCTGTGGAACGACGTGGAACACTGTTTCTTTGTTTCCTCTCTGCTTTTAGGGATGGAGACAACACAAAGACCACCTTACAGACCTTAATACAGTCACCCTTGCTTGTGCTTCCTCTGGTCAGACTGACTGCCAAATCAAACAGCAGAGCCGTCTGTATAAATGGTGAAAGACATCAAACCAAACCAGGACAGCCAGCTGACTCACGCAAATAAAACAGCCACCAAGAATCCTAATCAGTGTGATACTATATGCATATAGACTTAGTGGCCTCTTTATTACACAGACCTATCTGCCACTGGGTTGGACTCACCTTTGCCTCCAGAACCACTGCAGGTCCAGACAAGTTGTGCATTCAGAGAAGCCAAACTGCACAATACAAATGTACTGAGGTGTTATTTTTGCACTTATCTTCCTGATAGCTATAAGAAGTTTGCCCGTCCGCCTCTGACCCCCCTCGTTAGCAGTCAGGGGTGTTTTCACCCCCTGACTGCATGTTTTTGTTTTTTTTTGATAATCGCACCATCCTCTGTAGCGCTAGACGCTGTACTGGGTGAAAATCCCAGGAGGGTGGTTGTTTCTGAGAGACCGGAACCCCCATGTGCGGCAGCAACAATCACACCACGTTCAGAATCACTTCGGTCACATGGCTTAGCTGCAAACACATAATTCATTGTATGCAGGAGCAGGCTGTTTGGGTGCCTAATAAAGTGGCCACTGTGAATATGACGTTATCTTCGCGGATATACTGCCCTGTTGAGTTAATGTAGGTGGCGTTGTTGAATAAGTCTGAATAATTATAGGCAACTATTAGTTATAGTACAGCATAAGGTACATCATAAATTATCTGACGGTGTGTCTGGTGTAATATTTAACAACCTGAGACAGGGAATTACGGTTTGATTCATTGAGTTTTCTGTTTGGTTTGACTCTCTCCCTTGCACTCAAATGAGAGAAGTTTGTAATGAAATTCTACACTGGCAATTAAGTTACTACAGTGGAGTTATATGATAGCTATTAGCTGTTATTATTAATGTATAATACCAGGAAACCACTAATAGGTGGCAGAAGTCTGGAAACGGGCAGCTTTAGTGAAAGCAAGCGCAATCTCTCATGCAGTGCTTTAAGATCGAATGCGGGGGGGAGTGAAATGAACAGTGAACGCTCTCAGCACAGCGCGCCAGATGGTCTCACTGCTCACACTGGCTAAATGCAGTTCATTATGACCCCCACCCTCCCCCAAGGAACGCTATTAGCCGTGGTTCCCCGGATACCTTTAATTGGCCGCAGGGGTTACGATCTGAAGTATGAGGTAAACAAACTTGCTTTTATTAACCATAATAATGTGATATAATAAGACATTGTCATTAAACAGACAATAACCCGCATGGAAACGAAGAAGCACGTGTTTAGTGTGTGTTTCATACACACTCCCCTCTGTGCTTCATGGCCCTGGATTTGTAGGAGATCAATGGGAATCCTTCCCAGTCTCACGGTGGCATCGTGACTTGGAGTCAGGAGACAGCAGAATGGCTCCAAAGTCGACACACAGAGCAGGTGCCCTGCAGGTGAAGCAGTCATGAAGCACTGCTTTCCCCCTGCGCTTCTCAGGGCTCCTCCATGAGCAAACAGACATTCACATACAGACATGATGCTGTAATAAACAGACCTGGTTCTGGGTTTGAAAGGGAGGCCTGCAAAAAATACACTAGTGGCCAAAATGTGGAAACATTTACAATTTTTGAGAACTGCAGAACTTTACTCAACTGGTGCTCCCGTTAGTTATTTAATCGTTCAGTGTATGATATTTGTAACATCCTTTGACTGTTATTCGTGTAATAATTTTTAAAGCTTAATGCCAAAAATGCTAGAGGTTTCCACAATTTTGGTCACTCGTGTATGTGGGCTTAACCTCTGCCGTTTCAGGACAAATGGCCTGGCGGAAACATCACACGTGCCAAAGGCCTGGTTGGTTCCAGAACTTTCTGGTCCAGAGCCATCCCCGTGCGTTTGAAAGGACAAACACCCCCATTCCTCCTTAAACATTCCTGTCATGTCCATTTGTGGTGATTTTGTGATGTTTTTTTGGGGGTGTCCCTACGGTTGGGGGATATTTAATCAGTGCGATGGTCCTTTGACTGAGTGTCCATCGTCTCTCATTTCATTTATTTAGAATGTTGCAAATGAAGGGGATGTTGGAGACGCAGTTTGGCCCTTCATGCTGGCATGTAATACATCAGTTTAATCCTTGTATTATCATGCTATATCATATTTTTAGGAGTATCACCAAAGAAGCAATACAATTCCATATTTCTCGAGATGAGTCTTCACAAAGACAGTAATTTAGGGAATGTTTTGGGTAATCTGTCTTTTTTGTTCAAATCATTCCTAAAGTGGTTTTTTTGTATGTGTTAAAAAAGTATTCTGTTAACTCGGTGAATTCCAGGCTTCAAGTCAATCCATTTACGGAAATAGACGAACAGGATATATTGCATTAATCTGCTCCGCGCCCGACACTGAAATGTTTCAGCTGGCTGCTTAGTAATTTATCACCAACGTGACGAATTGATTGTTTTGTAAGTGCAGAACGTGCTCCATGATCAGCGTCGATAGCAATGAGGCAGGTGTGTATTCTTACATAATGAATATGGATTATCTTGCATTTGCCGTTCACCCCGAGTGCGGCAGTGAATCAGCCTTTCGCCGAGACGCTGATAACACGTTACTGATCGTGAAAGCCACCTCGCTGCTATTCGCAGTCGGGCCCCAGGTTTGCCGTTAGTAATTCACTACCCACCTCAGTGTCATCACAAATGTTAGATTAATGTGATTTATCGCATGTTCTCGGGATGCACACGTTTGAAGTATTGTGTTAATCCAGGGGCAATTCTGTGATTCGTGTAAGGTGGGGGACTTAAGAGGGGCCGTAATGCAGGGGGGGGGGGGGGGGGGCAACCAACGATGCATTTTGAATCGGCGACTCCGGGAGGCCAATCAGCTCTCAGCTGGGATCAGTGCCCCCCCCAGCCCTGCCCACATTTTATTCACGATTTACAGAAATGAAAACCACATTTGCCCCCAAATCGGTCGGATTTCCCGATGCATGGGTGTGGTTGCTGCCCATGGGTTTGCGAGTCCCCTGGGGAGGTCAGCGGCCTGTTCGTTGTCTCGCCACTGCGCTGATTAAACATTATTTTGACCACTGCCCCCCTCCCCTCCCATTGTGCATCTCCCTCCCTGTAATTGCTGCCTCATTACTTACACGTCATTTGAAATTCCTGCCACTGAATGGGGCCGGCGAGTAATCATTGATGCAAATTGCTACATAATGGGCGTTTATCCCACCACCAAGGCCCATCTGACTTTCAGGGTCTCCTGTGCATCCTTCCCCCAGCGACCCACGTGGGTGAATTTAGCAGTAATTTGTCCCTTGCTGATGGGCAATCCCCTCGGGTTGCCAGTTATTGGTAAAGCACTTAAACCCCCCAGCACCCCCCATGCCCCCACCCCCCCTCACTTTGGCCCGCAGAGCCTCATTTCTGAAGGGCTTTGCTATAACTGCTTTTCTTAATTGCTCGACGGCCGAAATCAGCCCAACGGAATGTCACCGTGAAGCCTGCGGCGGCACAGCTGCTGAGTGAGTTACCACTTGCCCGTCTGATATCGCTCTAACGCCTCCGCCTTTCTCCTTGTTTTCAAGGCCTCCCTGTGGGCTCCTCCCAGTCCGACACCAGCAGCAGCCCTTTAGAGCAGGGTCAGCTCGGCCAGTCGCACCCCACCTTCCCCGTCGGACCCCAGGTGAGTCTCCCGCACCCCACACATCACGCGCCACTCCTCCAGCTACTGATTAAGTTTGCCAACTTTGAAACGTAGAAATGGAAGCGGCTGTCTTGTAGCTGAATGGATCCAGGAGTTTGGTCTGACATCCTCCTTTCAGTTGTGTAAAATATTTGGATCTAGCTTATCTGAACCAGAAGGAGAGAATGGTGTGATATCACCAATAAGCAAGTCTCCTGGGATCAAATCAAACTCGCATCTTTGTTTAAATACAAAAAGAAAATAATTTGAAAAGGAAGTGAAGACGAACGACTACCCCCCCCCCCCCCCCGTCCAGTTATAAGCAGCAGTAACCAGAGAGGTCAATGCAGCGATTCAGCGCTAAGCCCCTGTTAGCAGGGGGACCCTGGAAAGGTGAGGCTATGGCATTTATGAGCGAGCGGCATAAACAAGCCACCGTATTTTTCATCTGTATTGAACACAGCAGCTTATTGCTGGGTTCTGCCTGGCTTGGGTCACGGTGTGGTGCTGTAGGAGAGCAGCAGGGAATCGGGACAAGGCTGCTCCACAAGATACTTCATCCATATTGCCTGTCTTAATTAATCTGCGAGCCTTTTGCCTCGATATTCAAGTAGCTTAATAGCAGCAGGTAGTAAATCAGTGAATGATCTCAAAACGGATAGCGGTCAGCCTGCAGATCTGGCCCTAAACGGTCACGTTGAGCTTATAAAAGACACATCACAGCCCCTGCCCGTCCATTCTGAGAGCGTGGATGTCCCAAGGCCAAGCAACAGGTCTCGCCGGTCCTATTCCAGACTCAGCACCCCCCCCCCCCGCCCCCCCCGCCCCCATTCACAGCTTTGTTCCTCCGTCATAGAACCGGTAAATAGCTCAATAAAGCATAGCATCCCACCTAATTGGATTTATTGAATCATGGGGCTGGTTAATGAACAACCATCTCATTAGCGGCGTCGTTAAACACCTGTGATTATGATTCCCCACCCCAGCGCTCCACACAATAAGTAACGAATATTTTAATGTGCCATTTTCACCCATTCAATTTCCGACCCACTTATCCTTCTGGGTCACAGGGGGTCTGGAGCCTATCCCAGAAGCTACGGGCAGAAGGTGGGGAACAACCCAGGACGGGGGGGGGGGGGGGGCAGCTCACAGGTCACACTCACACTCACGCACCGTTCACTCACACATGCACAATTACAATTTAGTAACTCCAGTTAGCCTCAGCATGTCTCTGGACTGTGGGGGGAAACTGGAGTACCCAGTTTCAATTAAAGTTTAACACAGGTCAAGTGTAACAACTTAATCATCAGATATCATCATCAGATACATTTCGAAATCACTATAAAGTAATGTTTTAATCAGATTGTCAGGCTTATGTAAATAACTTGGATGTTTATGGTCTTATAATGTAGTAATCAACCTCTTGAAAAGTAATATTGCAATATTGTTGTCATGAAAGTCTTACTGAAAACATCATCTCAGCTAAATGGCTGCTTTTTTAAGCTAATTCTGGTTTTATACCCTAAAATCTGACATGAATTACTGGGACTGCTAAGAAGCTAAGCATGAATTCACCCATTCTTTCTCACTTATTTAATCCATTGTTTTTCACTGTAAGGTATTTTTTTACATGCTTGTTCAGAAGCTGTGAACTAGACTGTGATGTTTTTGAAAGCAGACCAGTGAACACAGACACACCTATTTGTCAATGAAGGTTTCAGGAGAGCTTTGAGTTAGCAGGCAGACCAAGGAGGGCCTAACAGTGAATGACCAAGTCTTTGAGGGGAAGCCAGCATAGGAGGTTCCAAGCCAGCACCCCCATGTCAACTTTCATCCTAGAACTGCAAGTTGTTTCAGCTTTCAGCTGCTGCTCTCAGCAATATAAGAGGATTATAGCCTTCAATATCTCTGCACAATTAAGTCCAAATTTCTCGCATGCTTTTAAACTTCAACAAACAGGGTACGGATGTTTGAAGGTTCTGGTATCTGTAGCTCCCACACACACGCACATGCCCATGCAACAGTATGACATCTTGATAACAGAGCACGCTGTCCTGCGGACGCCTCTCAGGAATATAAGTGTTTCAGGGCCGAAATCTCTGACAATTCATCTGTGTAATTCATTGTCAGGTTTAAAAGGCAGGGTGACATTTGTGCTATTTGACCTCGACAATAGAAACGCTGGTGCATTATAATAAATAACCTTTACATTGCGAGACTAACAAGCAACACACTCCTTCCACTTTATCCAAAACCAAATGGAAAAAATACATAAAAAACTGCAGATGTTGACATTTTTATTTTTCTAACCCTAGTTAACATATCCTTGGATAAAGCCAAATAAGGAATTACATCTTTCTGAGTTTCAGATACACCAGAATGCACCAAAATGTCCGTAATATGTATTACTGTAAATTCACCATAACAGTGCTTTAATTGGCTGCTGATTATGCAGGGTTACAGTGAGACTGGGGCCTAGAAGCATCTAGGATGGGATGCCAGTCCATTGCCGCACAAGCCATAAATTGCTAGACACCCGTCTGTCCTTTTCAGGGTGACAGGAGCCTAAGTCAAGCAGCACACAGCTCCTACTAGGTAGTGTGCATGGGCTGCTCAGAGATATCAGCTATCTTAAGGGCATGTACTTGTACCCAGGAGGAAACCAGAGTACTTAGAGGACACTGATGCTACACAGGGAGAGCATGCAAACTTCACACTCACAGAGCAGGAGTGGGATTGGAACCCCTGATCCTGGTGGTGTAATACTTCATAAGCCCTCGCTTTCTGGGAGTTACTCTTCAGTTTGAGATACGCTGCTTAGACTCAGCTCCAAGCGGTGCCTTGTTAGAAAGGCAGGTTTGCACTGAGAGCCATGTCGCCGTCATGGTTGCCCTCCAGCAGCTGGTTTATATTCACCTCGATCATCCTCAGCATCCACTCAGCATCAAGTGGGACTGATCGCTGCTTCCGTTAGAATGGAGTGAAGCTTTATTTTCCATGTGCAGTGGAATGTGTTCACCTATCCGATCTCACTCTCCTTTTTAAGACATACACATATATTGCAGATGAGAGTGGGTGGAAGCTTTCATTCATACACCCTTAACCAGCTGAGACACACACACACACCACCCTCCAACGTAAAATTACAAGCCAACCCAGATGGGACTCGAACCCACAATCTCCAGCTCCGGAGGCTGATGCCTTATCCATTAGGCCACTGGGTCACACAAGCTCTGTTATCTTGAAACTGTAAATGAGTCTAAGTGCGGTCAGCCTCCTTGTTGCATCATGCACAGGCCTTCCATGCTGTGGTGGCCACGCCCACCATCTCACTATTGGGGGCCGTCGGCCAGAGGGCAGGGCGCGTATTGGGGAAGAAGCCTGTGTGTGCGCTGCCCATGGAGGAGAGGTATCCTGGCCCAATGAGCCAGCGTGTTAACGTACCCCGATAGTGCGCCTAGCATCTACGGCCATTTCCTTCTTCAGCCATCCAAGAAGATGATTCCTGGCAGGTGAAATTCCCATTTAAAGGTAAAGTCGGGCCAAAGGGCGAGTCAGGAAACAGATAAGCTGATCAGCATCGTTTCCAGGGCGACCTCGTATCTCGTTTACCCTTTATGGAGCCCATAGGGCCTGTCGGCAGTTATGGCTGTGCTCGGTGTGTACACACCCCCGATAACGCCAGGCCGTCCCGGGGTCCGGCTACGCCAGCGGCGGTATGAGCCTCACCCCGGAGTCCCGCGCACGGTAATGCGCTTCGGCTTTTAAAGGTGACAGACTGGGTCACAAAATCCAGGGTATAAATCCAGTTTGTTACCCAGCTACTTGACAGACCGCTCTTTGAATGGCTGTCGCTGCTAACACCAAGGTCACTTCAAGATTTTACCCACTTTTGGGTAAATGTGACATTGAATACACTTTCAGGAGTACAAGAATATACAAAAAAGTATATAGAATAAATACATCAATACCTAAAATGTGTGGGATGGTGTGGTGGCTCAGGGTGTAATGCTGTTCTGTACCTGCTGAGGCTTCCAGTCCTCCCTCTGTGGAGTTTTTAGGTTCACGCTTTATAGGTTTTCTTCAGATCCCCTGACTTACTTACACGGTCATGGAAGTCGTTGTTGGGCGACCTGGCATCTCTAAGCTGCCTAGATAATGCGTGTGTCTGTGCCGAAAGACCGGTATCCCATCCAGGATGTACCCCAGCCTTGTACCCTGTGATAGACTGGTATCCCATCCAGGGTGTACCCCAGCCTTGTACCCTGTGATAGACTGGTATCCCATCCAGGATGTACCCCAGCCTTGTACCCTGTGATAGACCGGTATCCCATCCAGGGTGTACCCCAGCCTTGTACCCTGTGATAGACCGGTATCTCATCCAGGATGTACCCCAGCCGTGTACCCTGTGATAGACCGGTATCCCATCCAGGGTGTATCCCAGCCGTGTGCCCAGTGATAGACCGGTATCCCATCCAGGGTGTACCCCAGCCATGTGCCCTGTGCTTTTTGGGACAGGCTCCAGATTCCAGGCTCATCTGCAAATCTTTCAAAGATAAAGCAGGTGGAAGATGGATGGATAAATGTAATTAGTGTATTAGATGTATCAATAATAAAAAATATTAAGGGTGAAATTTCAGAATATTCAGTTCATAAGATGTTGCAGGTAAGCCTTGTAATCAAAACATCAATATCTTCCTCTGAACATAAAGTGTATATGAGTTGTCAGTTGTCAGAAGGGTTTAGGTCACTTGTCACTCCTGCTTCAAACACAGTGTAGGTCTTCTACTATGAAGGGAGGTGTATTTGTCCTTGGGTGTTTCACACCTTATGATTTGGGTACCTGTGCCTTATTATGTATCTTACTGACAAAGCAGAGGCAGGGGACCTCATTATGGCGGCCAGCTGAAGAGCATTGGGACAGAGTGACAGAGAACGTGTCAAATAATCTCATGTACATCTGTGGAGCTTCATTCATCACAGTCATTACAGGCTTGGTTTAAAGCTTCTGATTGGGGCTTCTCATGCATTGTTGCATGGATTTTGTTTCACTACATACTGATGATGCATTAGGGGGTCTTTGGGGCGGCGTGGGGATCTGAGGGTCTTTGACTCCGTGCCTGTGACTGGAAGGTTGCTAGTGCAAATCCCATGGCTAGGGAGTGATGTCACCGTTGGTCCCTTGAACAAGGCCCCTAACTCCAACTACAGCAGGGATGCTGACTGATCCTGCACTTGAGCACCAAACAACTTGTTGACCAAACTGTCATCTGTATTTGTGTTTGGGTGACTCATGCAGAGCAGGATGGGTTACAGGGGTGAATGCAGTATCATTATTAGTATTTTCTGTGATCTTGGGCTAACAGCGTTTCTATGTGTGTTGCTTTCTCGTCACAGTCGCTGTTGGCTGCGCAGCAGATGGCATCGACGGTAGCCGGGGTGATGCCCGGGGCCCCCCCAGGCCTGAACCAGCCCATCCTCATCCCCTTCAATGTGGCCGGGCAGCTAGGCAGCCAGCAGGGCCTGGTGCTCTCACTGCCGACCACCAACCCTGCCAACCTCGCCAGCCTCGCCAGCCTGCAGGGCCTAGTGGCGGCAGCAGCCACGGGCGGCATCATGACGCTGCCGTTACAGAACCTCCAAGGTGAGCGGCAAGGAGTGCCACCGACCGTCCCCGTTTGACATAGGCAGGTGCTCGTTCGTTGTAGGCTTGACTCCTACACCCTTTTCAGAGAAACCTGTGCATGTGTGAAACAGGATTTCGCTCAAATTCAAAAAGGTACGTTATAAAGTTTGGCTCTGGCCAGCATGGGAAAATTTGGGAGGCTTGGTGAACAAAATCACATGATGTAAAGCACAGTGTGTTAAGGGACACACTCTTCAGGGGATTGTGGGAACCAGAGGCATGAAAGGGTTTCTGATTAGACCATCAAAAACTGCTTTTTCATCAGCTGAGAGAAACAAGAAGTGTTATACTGCACTGATAGCCTGGTCCAAAATACAGGGCCCCTGTCTGTGATTACTACCGCCAATATAAACAGACAGCTGGACTGGGGAGAGATCTGAAACTCACTTCGAAGTACAGTCACATGAATCATCCTCTGGGACAGAGAGCAGCTCCCCACCTCAACCTCACACAATATTATGTGTATTATACAAAAGGAAAGAGTGTATACCTTTATTTTCTATTATTCTCTCAGCCCAAATCTCAAATACCCTGCAGCAAACGGTATCTTGTCGTTTTCTGTCATTTCCTCATTCTCAGCAATACTTAAAAAATCTGATTTTGTGCAATCAGCTTTCTTATTATGATTAATTGTCATTGTTGAGTCAGCACAGTACAACAACAAAATGTGTCCTCTGCATTTAACCCATACATCACATAGCAGGACGTTGCTTTGGGTACCTCACTGGGCAGGGTTTCAAACCAGCAACCTTTCACTCACAAGCACACATCCATAACCATTAGGCCACCACTTATACAGGGCAATTGGATTCTAAAGTAAAACACAGTAAAACGATAAACATGGCACTTTCTCTGATGCCCCTAAATTCGAGGTCCAAATTCAGTTTCCTTAAATCCTATGAACCATAAGAGGAAGCAGGCACCAAAAGGAGGCAGGAATCAAGCCCAGATCCAGCCGGGTCCAAGGCTGCTGCTCTGCCGTCACAGTTTCCTGGGGGAAGTGAATTTATCGACATAAATGCTTCCTGTTCTGGGTGAATCACCGCGGCTGATCCTGAAGAGTGTGAAAGACCTCTTTAAACAGTCGATTCCCAAGGGTAAAAGCGTTTCCCAGTTACAACTGGTACCCATTTCATCCAGAACATCACTGACTTCCGAAAAACAGACCAGAAACCGCAAGACAGCCGATAAAAGAACAATCCATGGAGTTTTTTTTTCCTTCATGTTTTGTTATATGTCTTCTCTGCAGGATATAGTTTTTTAAAAAAGCTAAAATGCCTGAGTGACACATAGGAATTGGAATTGTGCAGATTTTATTATGTTTTAAATGAACTCCATATACATTATCAGTGTTTGGTACCTGCAGCTTTTGCCTACTTATAGCAGCATGTGCTTATTAGGATGGAGCCACGGTGCCTCGGTGTGTAGCCCGGGATGAGATTTTGAGGCCTACCTTGGCTCTGGATGATTGGAGGTTGCACATGTTCTCAGAGTTATGTGAGTTCCCACCTTCTGGTTGCTCAGTGTCTCTAAATTGCCTGTTGTGTGTGTCCTGTGAAGGATGGGCGTCCTCTGTAGGGTGTACCCTTGTCCTGTGAAGGATGGGAGTCCTCTGTAGGGTGTACCGTTGTCCTGTGAAGGATGGGCATCCTCTGTAGGGTGTACCCTTGTCCTGTGAAGGGTGGGCGTCCTCTGTAGGGTGTACCCTTGTCCTGTGAAGGATGGGCGTCCTCTGTCGGGTGTGCCCTTGTCCTGTGAAGGATGGGCGTCCTCTGTAGGGTGTACCCTTGTCCTGTGAAGGATGGCCGTCCTCTGTAGGGTATACCCTTGTCCTGTGAAGGATGGGCGTCCTCTGTAGGGTGTGCCCTTGTCCTGTGAAGGATGGGTGTCCTCTGTAGGGTGTACCCTTGTCCTGTGAAGGATGGGCGTCCTCTGTAGGGTGTACCCTTGTCCTGTGAAGGATGGGCGTCTTCTGTAGGGTGTACCCTTGTCCTGTGAAGGATGGGCATCCTCTGTAGGGTGTACCCTTGTCCTGTGCTCTCTGCTACTAGGCAAAGGCTCCACAATACCACTGTGAATAGGCTGGAAGGTGGATGCTTAAAATGACTGCAAAGTACAGATCCATTTGCACGTTCTCTGTTTTATGACTCAACCATTTTACCCAGACATACTTATGGTGTATGATGCATTAACTTTTGGGAGTCACAACATTCTGTGTACTTCAAAAATAAATGTTGGAGGACAGTTCAGAAATACTTTGCAGGAAAGTGGAGGTTCATAATTGTGCTTGACCACAATTGTTGTTAGGGATGGTTATTAGCATAAGAATTTCAGCTGGTCAGCAGGGATCCAAAACACTGCATTCTTCTACTTCCTGTTTATAAGAATCTTTAACAAGATGTTAAGATGTTCTGTACAAAGCAACATAATGCATTATATCCTAGTGATTCACTAGTGAGGCCCACTGTCCATTGTGTTTCTTATAAAAGAGCCAAGATTGTGCTTGATTTTGTGCGCCACCAGCCGAGTTTCCAAGAGTGGCATATATGTAGCAAAGACACTTCTTAGGGACAACGTGACTTTGAAATGATGTGTCATGGGGGATTGTTTGTTACTTATACATAAGAAAATGCCACGGAATTTACCCCACCAAGAGTTAGCGCTACACTGAGGAATAAAATGCTGAGGGACGAGACCTTCAGTGCTGGTGTGTGGCTCAGAGAATGGCTGCTGGTTCAAATCCTGTGTCTGGCAGTATGATATTATACATTGGCCCCCGAACAAGGCCCTGAACCGCTACTTGCTCCGGGGAATGTCTGACCCTGATTTCTCAGAAAAAGGGGGGGGGGGAAATAATGCATGTCGCTTTGGGTAAAGGCATAAATAAATAAAAATAATTATAGTTCTGCCCTGTTTGCCAAGTCCACCCTGTCCAAGCCCCCGCTTATGGAAACTCCCCCATCCCAACCCCCCCCACCATTTGCCATTCGCCCATGAGCCCACCACTCTATACTTATCATGGCCTCTTAAAGTTTCCTGCCGAAATGTTCTCCATTGAAAATAGCTGTAAATAGTCTCAATCTTAATGTTTAAAATATTGTGTCTCTCACAGCATCCGATCAAGCTGTCAGCCATTAATGTTGTATGAGGAGGCTAATGTGCTAATGCTGCAGGACTGCCACATAAATTGCACGTATTTGTATAAAGCAGTATTTATAGTTTATAAATGTGTGTGTGTGTGTGTTTGTGTGTTTTAACCAAGGCAAAAGTCATTTCAACACAGAGCTCCAAACGACAGTGTACTAATGGAGCCCTAATGGACATACATAAATAACAACACGAGTAGAGGCCCGGCAAGCTAAATAAATGGCATCGTCATACGTCATACATTTCGGACCAGGGCCGCTTCTCCAGGACACGATAATGCACCGGCTACCCTACTTTATCCATTCTTAACTTTCCTTTTTGCTGTTTTTTTTTTTTTTTT